TATATATATACGTGGAATTATTTCAGAACGATTTCCTCAGGCACCTTAATGTTGTGAGATTATTGCGCTTGGCTAAATTACCAAACGTGATAAGATACCTCTTTAAGATTTGCTATCCCTGCCATTAGTAACGGATCCTTGTCATTTACACGATGCTGCTATGGTTAAATGTTGTAGTTGGGTACTAGTCATACTAAAAGACATATTAAAAACTTAATATTTGATCTAATCAAAAATTTGGGTTCATGATGATGAATTATATATTTATTTTTTGCAATCATTAAATGTAGATTAGAAGCACTAAGAATACGAAAAGAATGATTGGTTAAAGCGGGGAATGTTGAAAGATATATAGAATTGAGAGAAAATAAATAAGAGAGAGAATTATGATACATACAGCGGAATTCAACATGAAACAGAGACTGAGTATTTCTAAACAAAGAACAAGAAGTGGGAAAGGAAAGAGAGACTCTTTGACGAGTTAAATACGCACACATGTTCCCGTAAAATAATCATGCCTAACGTGTACAGACTTTCTTCAGTTCGAAGTAATCCCTTCAGACGAACCCTTCCCCGTACTTGTCTCATAATTTCTCCCAAATAAAATAAAAGCAAATGTAAAATGCAGCATGACACAATTACAGATTGCAAGTAACATTTACAAATAAACATGTAGGTAATCAACCAAGCTGTTTTTAATAAATTAAAAATAATGTAGTAATATTTTAATTATTGATAGTTAAGTTAATCATTGATGATGTATTAATGTCGTGTCCTTCCCGAGCAGAAATTGAACCTCATGGCTAGCTAACCATTAGATAGACAAGTTGTGTCTTAGATAACTGCCGTCTAGTATTTCTGGCTAGTTATTAGCTAGTTATGTAATGCTCACTTCTTCTAGCAGCTAGTAGCTAGACAAAATATGTTACACAGTCATGGCATGGAAAATCATTTCTCCCAGTAGCTGTATAAGAAAAATTAGTTAATAGCTAGATATAAAATGTTACACAGTTACGACGTGGAAAATCATAGCTAGCTACTAGCTAGTAATGTAACGCTTACTTCTCCTAGTAGTTGTACAAGAAAAATTAGCTAATAGCTAGACATAAAATGTTACACAGTCATGACGTAGAAAATCATAACTAGCTACTAGATAGTAATATTCTCCTAGTAATTGTATAAGAAAAATTATCTAGTAGCTGTCTATCCTACACTAAACAGCAACTGAATAGGAAAAAAAATATTTTTTTGACTGGATTTTTTTATAGCATACTTTTTACTTAATTTCTAGAGATAATTTTTATTAATTATATTTCCTCTCCATCTTTTGTTGTGTCCTCTTTAAGTGCTGAACGGGTCACTAATAGCTAGGAAAAAATTTTTAACATCCGATGGGATTTGAACTCGTGCCTCCATCCACAGTCCAGGCTTCTGAGTCGCTCACCTAACGTACTGCTCAACTGCTACCTTATCGATAGAGATGTTTCGAATTGTCTATGTAAGTTATTCAGCACAAATATGATTTAATACCTAGCAACTAGATAGTACCGACTAGATAAGTTTTCTAACTTGTCACTGGCTAGTCACTAGCTGTATATTCCGTAATATCAATAAATCTGTCTAGTGATTGTCTAGTGACTGTCTAGTAATTACTACACCTACATCTTATTTACTAGACAGCCACTAGACAGATTTCTTGATATAAAAAAACCTGTCTAGTGACTGCCTAGTAATTATGATCTTACACCTACATCTTATTTACTAGGCAGCCGCTAGACAGATTTCTTGACATGAAAAAATCAGTCTTCTTACAAGATATCTTAATATGAAAAAAATTAATACAAAAATATTTAAAATGTAACGTATTAATTATATAATATTAACTTAATTCCTGCCGCTCGCTACTAGAGGGTGCTGGCTCCAACGCTGGCGAGTTTCGA